ACATAAAATAATAAAAAGCCAATCAAATCAATACAGACATCTGTGATTTCTGTCTTCCTCTGAAGAACTAACCCTAAAACCTGCTATTTTCTAACATGTTTAACTGGGTAACTCTTTTGGATCTTTTTAACAAAACACTAGCTTTTAGCTTAACCCTCCTTGAAGGCTTTTTCATCTTTCATTTCTCCTTTGTGGTGGTGATGAAGGGGTCTGGATCCATCGGCTTGCGTCTTGCCACTCAGGAGAGCACCACCGGTTTCATTTTCAACAAGGAGATGGACTTTACCCCATCAAATCTGGCCAGAAAAACTGAATCCAAGAGTGAGTACCAGAAAGTATGCAATGTATTGTTAAAAATGTCCATTAAATGTAACATTCTATTAATTCTACTTCTCTTTTTCAGGCTCAAAATACATCAGCAAGTCAGAAGATAACTTGCTGACCCCCCATTGTGATTCGAGTGCCCACCAGACATCGTGGATTGTGGAAACTCCTGTGGGAACACAAGCTTTGGACAGAGGGTCTTTCACAGATACTCGATTGACCACTCCCCTCAAGGGCAGCTACATGTCTGAGCCAGCCATAATTGCTTCCAAACTGTCACCAGCAAACATTCTTCCCAAAAAGCTGTGCTGCGCTTCCAGCTCAGAGAGCCTAGAAAGCACGCGCTTCGTCGCTGAACCGCTGAGACAAAATGTTCCAGCTGAAAATATCCAGAATGACGCCAGAGAGCCGGAGAGTGACCTCCTGGCTTCCAAACTGGGCTTCTGCAGCTCAGTTGGAAAAATTAAATTGTCATCAAATGTTCCTGCTACTCCAACCTCTGCCTTTGAAATTGATACCTTCTGCCCACCAGCTCAGGCTGATGAACCGAATGTTACTTTTGGTCAATTTAATTTTGAAGCGCTTACTCCTTTGCATATTGATAGTGGTGTGTTTGACAGTCCACACTGTAGACCAGTAGTCAACAAAGGTTTATCTCCTTCCTTTAGTCGTTGTAGCAATTTCATGTTGGGGTCAGTTGAGAGAGTTCCAGAGCAGATGAACTGCAGCAGACTTATTGATGCTTTGGACATGCAGAGTCCTGCTCATTTCACACTGCCTGTCTCTTCCGGGCACCAATCCACTCCATACAAGCCGGGTGTTGAACTCGATGATGAACCCAATATGTCAAACAAAACTGAAACTTTTGGAAGCAAATCAGATCAGGGGGTGAACATTTCCTCAGAGAGTGGGGCTGAAGTCAAACACCTGTCAACCCTCTCACCAGATGTCCGGCAGACCCAAAAACGTCGGGTCCTTGATCACATTCAACACTTCAACAAGCTCACCCTTTACTCTCCTTCCAACTCAAAGAACAAGCAAATAAGATCTCCCATGAAGTTCCAGCGCACCCCTGTGCGATTGACTGTACGTAGGATCAACTCTCTGGCAGGAGAGAGCAGGAAACCCAGTAAACTCCCAGAACTCAGTACCAGTCAGGCTGGTCATGTGACAAAGGCTGTGAGTCTTGAAAGCGGTCTCTCGCCTCATCCGCAGCTCCGGCCACAAGTATGCTCTTCCAACAGCACGGTTCCTGCAAAGAAACCCCCTCCTGTTCCACCAAAAAGACTCAGCACCTTGCCCCGAAAACTCAAGCCCTGCGCCTTGGGTGACATGACCAACAAAGTTCAACCAAAACCCGAAGTGGAATCTGATCCATCAGCTGCCCAGAAACCGATCCTTACGCAACTGGTTGCAGCAGAGAACATGAGCCATTACAGAGGTTCTCCAAGAAACCCTCTCAACCATGGCCAACTTCTGTCTGCTACAAAACCTGTCGACTTGTAGGAGACTGCCTTTTATGCTCTATTTTTTTCTGGGTTTCTTTACCCCAAGAAATTAAACATTCCGACATGTTTACCTTAATCTCTAATTTATGTTAGCTTCAGCAGGTTTGTGTTGTTTTATGAGCCTATTGGGAGACAGATGCCTAAAGTTAAATATTGACATATCACTCTGTATGGTTGCATGTTGAGCGTTTAAATCTCAAAGTGCAGGGTATATTATATAAAATATTGCTAGCTAGTGGTGTGAATGGAGATATGGATGTTACGCTTTTATTTTAAAACCTTGAAAGATCTTTGTTTCTTAGGGAGCTAAAGAAATAGCTCAATTTATCCTTTTCTTACTGTCTTGTCATTGAAAGAAGAGAAAGAAACCCTTGTTTTGATAAATTTACAGAGGGATAAAAAGGCCAACAGTGTTTATAAATCTGTATGCTTTTGTCAATTTTTATTATTATTTTTTTTTATTTTGCTTTGATTTTTGTCAGCACTGTGAACTGCTCCAGACAAATAAAAACAGCTTCACACTTTTGTGAATTCAGCAGTGAAATCTTTATCCCTCTTCTGATTGGATCAAGTCAATCTGTGACCACAAGAGGGCGACCTGTAGTTAGTTCTCTACTTCAGTGATATCCAAGCCTCAGTTCTGACTATCATCTTGATTTAAAGACTTTTTGTAGTGGTTTTATTTAGATTTATTAAAATATTCTGTGGTCTTGATAAATGCTTTTTGGGTCACGAGAAGTTGAGGATTTGTTAGAACGTAAACTTTTCTCTGACTCTGTAATATCAACATTCTGAGCAGTTGAAATGAAGTATCAAGAGCATTATAAAATATTTTAATCATATCTGACGCATTACATTTTAATCTGACAAGATTGTTGAGATTTATTTTTGCTAACAGAAGCTTGCATACCTTTCGTGTTTAACATGATGGATGAGACTTGGATAGTCTCCTGGTAGAGTTTCTGTTGCTGCAGTGATGGGAGAACACTTTGTGTGTTTAGTTTGGATTAATAAAGCATGAAGGGATTTTATGATGAAAGATGTTGCACTAGCTTTTCTTTTCTGTAAAAATACACGCTTTTTAAAAAAAAAATCAAAATGATTTACAAATGCAGGCATTTAAATATGGGAAGGTTGCCAGGTTGTGAAAATCAAATATGAACTGCATGGTGAGAATTGAACATGCTGTGACTTTGAAGTAGCAGCAGCTTTACAGTCTTGAAAACAGTATTACAATAGGGCATGAACATTTTCAGGTTGGGTAATGTAAACAAAAATGAAAACTCACTCACTGGCATTCAATGACTGGCTAAAGGATGAAGTTTATTGTATGCTTCATATTTACATTAAAGCGGTCCACAGAAGTCAAAGCTCTGTTTGAAAAGACAGGATTCTCACTAATGCTGACCTAAAAATAATATGGCCACCTTGAATATTAAACTTACTGCCAGCCAGTAAAGTAAGCAGTTTATTTCAACTTCAGACATTTTATTTCACATTTATTACAGTGCTATATGTCCTACATTTTGTAACATTGAAAAATTTTCAAAGTAAATACAAATGAATACATTCTGGTGGCTGATAGATTTCAATGGCTTATAAACTTGGAGGTGAAACACCATTAAGATTAATCAAAAATAAAAGGGATGAAAAGTTAATTAGCATTACATGACTAAATCTTTTTAAAATGCTACAATTAGTAAGAGCATCACCACAGTGCAGCACATGTAGTGTACCATCTTTTTACATGAATATGTTCGTGAGGTGTGAAAGAACGTAGAATGAAGCATTATTATCTGGTTTTAATAACAGGCTGTTCACAGACCATATTTCCCCAACTTTCTAAAGTGAAACTGGACCATTAAATTTGCTTTATTCATTGGATCTGCATGATTGGTTGAATGATGCAGTCCAAGAGAGATTTCTTACCAAACCTCAAAATCGAATGTGGCTTCCTTGGATACTTTACACATCCAGTAGTCTACTCTGGACCTGAAACTGTTTTAAAGTAAAAAAAAAAAAAAGAAAGAAAGAAAGAAATTAGCAACTGTGTTTTACACTTTGAACATGTTCACATTTATTTTGACATTCCCAAAAAGTTTGTTTTTCTAGATAGGTGAAACAGCAAGCAGCAAATTTTTCTGGTTTGTTGTTGTGAATTTGCTATTCATAGCAAATATAATTACAGGGTTCCTACATAGTTTGGAAAAGTATTGGTTTTCATCAAATATTTTCCAGAGCTGGATAAGTATTAGATTAAGAGTGGGAAATATTTGTATTTCCAGACTTTATTGCCTATTTAATTCCCTGTCATACCATCTAAATGCTATATTGACTTGTCCTCTCTTCATTCTTTTCTTCCCTATTCCATGCATCCCCCTATCCTTTCATCCTTTCAAATCTTTGCCTAAATATTTTCTTCTTCAGTCTTTCTTTCAATCCATCCCTTGTTCTTTCCTGAAGTCCCTGTGCTCCAGTCTTTCCATTATTTCTCAATTCCCTTGAATATGTCTGTGTTTAAAGCCAGACCACTGTAAAATCAGCTAAATCTAGAATGACCATTTGTATTTGACAGTTATAAAGAGACACTGTACTGCCTTCCAAATAATTAGCCTCAAAATGTTCAACACCACCGGTAATTTCATCACTGTTTGAAAATTATTGTCACTGGACTTTTTTTTTCAACGAGTGCCAATCTTGTAGAGAACAGGACAGGGCCTAAATCTCACTATGTACTGTTCTAGAACACAATACAGAATATTAGGCTACTTGACTAAACTTAATAGTCTAGTTCACTTGTTGCCTTGATTCAATATGAAATCTTTAAACGTACACATGAGCCTATTTAATCATTTTTCTGCATATGTGAAAATAAAATTCTCACATTTATATTTGTTAAGATCAGTTTTTGACAACTGTTTGGACCCTTTTTGCAATAGTCACAGAACAACAACCTTTGAAGGTGACACTAATAATTGGATTAAATTCTATTTAAAACTATATCATAGCAACATATGCAAAATGATGAGTAAATCATTCAATCTCAGGCATTTTTCACCATTTAAGAACTCCAAAAAAATCCTTTGGAATTGAGGAATTTTAGCTATAGAATTACAGGGGCAGTGAGACGCAATGCCTGATGACCAAGTATAGGAACTTACTGCATGTCACAAAAATGGTTTATCAAATGAAGACCCCTTTTCACTTTTTCCACTTCAGCATGCTTTATTTCTGCTCCTCCTCTTCATCCTCCTCCCTGCCTGTCCTCGGTACCCCTTGGTTGTCTGCTCTCTTGAAGCGGGTTGAGGGAAGTGTTGAGGGGGCGGATTGACTTAATTTTCTTCACATCTCGCTTAGCCAATAACTGTTGTGCACATCTCAGCTGGCAGACATTTAAAAGGGAGACAGTCCGGCGCTGAAGCAATTTGTATTAAACCCCCACGTTGGCCCCCGTCTATGGAGCGCGTTGTCTCCCAGTTATCCAGAGTGCCATCAGAGTCCAGTCGACCGCTGTAGGTGCAAGAAAGGCGAGAGGCTCAGAGGATCGCATCATCCCTCTTGAAGAATTTGGAGAATCGCCTAGGTATGCCATTACCGCCTACCTCTACCATTTAGATTGGGAGACGTTTGCTGAATACTTGGGTTGATAACGGGTCAGGGTTTTGAATTTAGGTTGGCTAATTCAGACATTTCTGTATAAGAGGATTATTTTTATACACTTTCAAACAACAAGTTCTATCCGTGCGTATTCACTTTGCGTAAAAACCTTGAGGTTTGTGCGAAACTCTCCCAAAGATATAAAGAAAAAAAAACCGTGATTATTTTTTATCCTCTCTAGGGATGGCCGTCTCCGCGCACACTCTGTGCAGTATGGTTTTCATCATCGGACTGCTGTCATCTCCCGCGGACTCAAAAAGAAACCGAGCCTCGCAAGGGGCCATTCCTCATCCTGACAAAAATAACCCAAACGAATCGGAGCAGCAACCGCAGCCCCCACAGTCGGGATCCAGGTCCCGTCAGAGGCCGGGCTCGACCTCACCAGCCGACGAGGTGCTGGAGTCCAGCCAGGAGGCTCTGCATGTGACGGAGCGCCAGTATTTGAAACGGGACTGGTGCAAAACGCAGCCTCTCAAGCAGACGATCCACGAGGAGGGCTGCGTCAGCCGCACCATCATCAACCGCTTCTGCTACGGGCAGTGCAACTCCTTCTACATCCCCAGGCACATCCGCAGGGAGGAGGGTGCCTTCCAGTCCTGCTCGTTTTGCAAACCAAAACGGTTCACCACCATGACTTTTACCTTGAACTGTCCGGACCAGCAGCCTCCCACCAAGAAGAAGCGCATCCAGCGCGTCAAGCAGTGCCGCTGTATCTCCATAGACCTGGACTGAACACGCTGCAATAATCCGCAGACGGTGTTGGTAGAGAAAACGAGCGCCTGTCTCCATCTGGAGATGCACACGGATGTTTTGTAATATTCTCCTCTTGCACAACAACAAAAAAAGAAAGTAAGAAAAAAAAAACTGACATGCAAAATTGAGCAGGGACGTTTTACTCCTGGTTTTACTCCTACTGCACGGAAACGCTAACTCCAAACGGGCACAGTTTACTTTATTTTATTTTTTTCTGCGCACGGCTTCCTTACTTTACCAACAGCACCAGCAATGAGACAGGACTCCAAAAATCATGTTGCAACTTTCAAATCACTGTTTTCTCCTCAATCCAATCCTGTATTTAACGCATAGTGTTTGTAGAACTGGATGTATCCACTGTGTGGAGTTTGAAGAATGGATATTTGTAATGAAAATGTGATCATTTTTTTATTTCGACATTTCAAGAATCTTTTGAGGTTAACCTAACTGATTTCTGTGAATTTCGAAGCTTTACTGGTAAAATATTTCATTTTACTGTCTGGAGTCTATTTAAAAAGTCTTCAAAGTAAAGCAGACTCATTTTTATAAAAACAGTATTTGGTTAGTATTGAGACTAAATAGTTTTAAATGTAGATGTAAAGTTGTTTTGTTTTAACCGGTTTGTTTATTCCGTTTGATTAAATTATCTATTAAAACTAAATAAACAAATGCTGTTCTACCTTGCATATATTATTTGTAACTCATTGTAATTCTTGTAACTGACAATCAGTTTTGGTATTTTAACTGTGCATGTTTCCAGTGGCTTCTAGCAGATGATGCAAAGTTATTTTTCTTAAAATGAAACTTTGTCACTTTTATGAAAGTTACTGGTTTAAATTAGCTTTCTGCACCAGCCTGGAGATTGTAGTTTATTCCATTTTACAAGTGAAGATTGCACTCATACATTTTAAAAAGCTTTAATTTAACCAACTGCATTTTTAATTGCTTCATGCAATCAAGGCAAAAGTGTATTTCTACAAAACATCCAGAATTCCTTTTGAGTTATTTGTCTAAATCTGCTAAACACACCGACTTTAGGATTTTTATTGTCAAATTCAACAGTAGGATCACATTATTTACATTTTTAATTTATCCGAGATGATTTGTGTTTTGATGCACCATTGAGTCTCTAAAATATTGCATCATTTTCCACAAATCTGTCCAATACATTAACCATTGTATGTTAATTTTTATACCTTTGGGCATCTACTGTATTTAGATACTATCTTATTGATGTGTGAATGACAAATTTATTACTAATTTCCTTGAAAGATAATGAGTAACAAAGAATACATCCCAAACATCTTTTGAGAAATTAATTATGCTTATGCATAATTAATATTAACAGTATATTTCAAATTTTGCATTTGAAATATACTGTGCTGTCCATTGTTTTAATGTACTGTATTAAGATCTAATATAAATAGGTTTGAGCTTCAAAAATATAGTTATGAAAAAAGAGAACTCTTCAAGTTCAAATAATTATTTTTAATTTCAGATTCCAAGGAGCCATTTTAAATGTCAAAAACAATGTTCCACTGCCAGACTTTATTCTGATTCACAATTTATTTGACTGCTCAGCAGTTTTAAGAATGACCAAACCCTTCTAACAAATCAAAGTATGAGATCTACACAGTACAGGCCTTTAAAATTGAACAATTAGAATACATCCATACCCAAACTGTTTCACTTGGCATTATAAGTATATTTTTGAAATTTAAAACAATTCTATAAAATGGTGTTACACCTACATAAGGAACTCCTGACGACAAATTGATATAGAATAGCTCATTTATATTTTCCTGGCCACTTGAAGAAACTTGAAACTGTTAAAATCTTTAGATTTCCCATACAAATAAAAGACACCTGTAAAAGAAAGTACAAAGGGTAAACAGGGAATTGGAGAATCTTATTAATGGAATCTGAGGTATTACAGCTCATGTTCTGTCTTCAAAAGTCAATCCTAGCAGCACAAAGCAAAGCATAAAGGCAGCTAAGTTTACTTTCTTTTTCAAATATGCACAACTTACAAGTAGCATCCATGTGAAAATATTTTTTTTTCCTAATTTGTCAAGAAACATTTAACACAAGGTTACAATGAGAAGGCAAATTGAAAAAGTAATAAATCTGATGTTTTCTTCTTTTTTTCCCATGAAATAACGGTTTTTCTTTACATAAATAGACTTTGCTTTACTGACAAAACGTTACATGATATTTGTACATACAACAAATTTTTAATACTCAATTTCGAAAATATAAATTCTATTCTAACATGGCTTCATAATGACGTTCAAAGTATAATCCTATGTTTTTGCATAGTAAAAGAGGTGCAAAAGAAAGGAGTGCAAGCAGGCTGAACAAAATGCTCGCAGGCATCATAACAGGGTGGTGCTACAGCGTACAGCTACTGCAAGGGAAAGTGCGTAAAACTGTGCAGAGCACAGTGAAATCTAGATTTATTTCTTTTTTTTTATGTCACAAGTGAGTGTACAGCCAGGTGATGTTGAGTTCTTCTGGTGTTTTTATGAGTTTGTGTGTTTTAGGAGGCCAAAGTTCTGTGCCAGACTCGCTGCCAGCTGCTGTTCGCCTCTGGCCATCACTCAGTGGAGCTCAGTCTGGTGCAGTGCAACACACAACAAAAGCAAACCATTTGTGCACATATTCTACACAGCAATCTGTGTATCCAAAAAATGTAGATCATTCAACATACTACTCAAAAATATGCTCGGTCCCTGCAGATCCTACAATATGACACATTGGCAAAAGTCTTTTTTTTTAATGAGGCGGGGTGCATCAAAGACATTACATACTGCAAAAGACGCTGCTAACTTCCTGCTCTGAGAATGAGAGATCTGTTTTGTCAACAGGGATTTTCCTCTAAGAAGACAAGAGACAGGAAGCAGCATGTGTTCCTACAACACCGCCGGGGGCTTAAAAACTGTGAATTTGTCAGAGCATTTTCAGTTTCTCCTGTAAGCTGTCAGATTAAATTTAGAAAAGTGACAATCCCCAGCTTCTGTAGATCCAGGAGGAAGCTTGTGGAGCTTGCTGAGAATCCCAGTGAACCCCAGAGACCTACCCCAAGCTGGGAAATCAGAGGTCGTGGCATGCCGGATGAATGAGGTCAACCTTTGGCCTTCAAGAGTCCCATCACTTCACTGCTGTTGCCTGTGGATACCCACTGCAGGAGTTGAGCAAAAAAAAAAAAAAAAGCTCAACATGGAGGTAGGAAGGAGTGTAAAGGATGGGGCTGAAGGTCCTGTTGGTGGAGCAAAGATACAACAGTAAATCTGCTCAAGTTTTATTGTGTTATTGTGAGGCAGGTGGTAAATGTAAAATGGATGGGATCTGCATGCTTCCTCACTGCAACCTTTCTTCTTCTGCCTTGCCACTCATTTCCTTCAGCTGGACGGCATGTTGGCTTCCTTCTGCCGTAACCTCTCTTTCTGTTGGCAACAACAACATAAAGATTAAGCGTATTGATTTCAGTGTTAACGCAAGAGTGAGGCAGCTTTTAGGGAACTCCATTACTGAGGGTGAATAAATATTACTTCTTACCAGACTGTTGGCATTAATCTTTTTGGTTTCCACTCTTTTTTCCGCAGTGATTTTCTTGATGTTTTCTTGAGCTTCCTTCAGTCTTTGGAAAAACAAACACACAAATACAATAATTATGAATTGTTAGTTCAACTGAAACAGGACATATGGGAGAGATACCTCTCATTAAGATGATCTTTGGAAAACATGTCCAGTGACATAAAACAACATTTCCCCTTAACCTTTTCACAGTTGGAAAGCTTCTATGTATTTTAGTTGGATTTTATTTGTGACAAACATAAAGTGGACCATAACTGTGAAGTGGAAGGAAAAGGTAAAATGTTTTTCATTTTCAAAAGCATTTAAAATACTTGTCTACATCTAAAATCTTCATCGAAAATACTTGTCATGCACATCCAGCGATTCCAAGTCTTTTTTTCAAAGTAGCTTAATCCTTGAACAAGCCTCTGAATAATATTTTGTACTTTGACTAGGTCATTTTGTGTTGAATCTGTGTAAACTCAGTGGATTCTCTGAACTACATAAAGTATTATACCAGAACAGATCATTTACCATAAAAGTATAACATTTGTCAAGAAACATTTGTTTCACTAAACAACAATAAATTCACTAAACAACAATAAATTTGGGTTCCACAATTCAGTAACACATACAGGTGGCCTCCTTGCACTTTCAAAAAGTACTGCAAACATGATGCGTACATCAGTATATTGTCAGTTGACAAAGAATAATTTTTAATTTATGAAGTCCTGAAATTTTTAAGAAAATCTAGAGTTCAGCTTAAGTACATTTGTTGAAAAATAAAAGTAAATATTGACGTTTATTATTTCACTTTGTATTGAAAGAGAAACTATTTTTAATTTGAAGCCAAACTAAGTTTCAAATTTGTCACCCAGCACTACATTAAAATTGTTACAGCAACACAATTGGAAAAGGTTTAACCAGTGTGAATACATTTGCAACACATTGCAGGTAAATGTCCAAAGACTATGCCTGCATACAGATCCAGTTCTGAGTTTGTGGGCAGTGAAAATCTTTTTAAGTGAGAAGTTGTTGAGAATGAGAGATAATGAGGAAGCCATTAAAAACCCTTGGTTTAATGACTGTGCAAACAATTTTAAAAATAAAGTTAATTGTCCATAAGCACAATCAGCTGTAAGTAATGTGATGCATGAAAGCAAATAAGCTGGAGCACATGGATTCATGATAGGGGGGCAATGAAAATCTCCTTGATGTCACTGGGAATGAGGAGGATTCAACATGACGCCTATAGCCATAGCCTGGAAGTCTGTTTGGACAGTGTTTATTCTCTGCTCCCTTAAAAGCTGCAAGTTGTTTCTGCTCACAAGGCTAGACGCCCAGTATCATCATCATGTTAATCAGTCCCTCCCTCGATGTGCAGCATTTTTGAAGGCCACGGGCCAGAAAAGCCAGGCGGCAGCCAGGAGGATCTCCCTTCTGTCCGTGGAATGCCCCCTCCTCACGTCCAACCCCCAAAATGACGCCTCAGGTCAGAGGAGAGATCATAAATTTAGACCCCGGTCCTCAAGAAAGAGGACTAAGGCTTCAGTTACTCCCATCTGCCTCCTCTTTGATGGCTTCCCTCTTTGCTTTAATTACAATCACTTTGTGCTAATTTGAGATAATCTGAAGATCTACGATGGCAGGTATAATAAATTACAGATGCATCAGTGCATATCACCATTCACATTCTAAGAAATACTTGAATAATTTCAATTCAATATTTTAGAGGAGAGAAACTTTTTAATTTGTCAATTCATTTGATCTCTCAGAGAAAAATCCTTCAATGTTTGCTCTTCCAGCCACTGCCACTATTTTTTTTACCACACAGGAAATGAGACGTAAAAAACAATCCATCAAAATTCAAACTCACCTCTCCTTGGAGATGGTTTTGCTTTGTCGTATCCAGGAGTTCTTGAAGTCATTACAGAACTCGTACCAGAGCATGAAGATGTGATTTGGGGTGACTTCTTTGTCACCAGCCTTTGGCTTTATACCAAAATAATTCACCACGTCCTGGAAACTGCAGGAGGAAACATAACAAAGGTTTGTACTGTGGAACAGTGACTGGTAATGGATGACT